TCTGCAGAGCTGGGGCCACAAGCTCCGTTGAACCTCTTGTGCCAAGCGGTAGGGCCGGGGAGACCTCTGCCCCATCGAGCTGCGCGCGCGGAGCGGTTTGCGCTCCGAAATAGTAGGCGCTCCCTCGGGCGGATGGTCGCGTCTGATGATGCTAATGATGCACTATTGCATCTCTGACCCCTATCACCATCGAGATATGCTAGAGAAGTAGTCCCTGTGCCAAGCGGTAGGCTGGGAGACCTCTGCCCCATCGAGCTGCGCGCGCGAGCGGTTAGGGTCCGAGTGAGGCCTAGAGGCTTGGTCTGGCTGATGATGCTACTGATGCAATACCGCGAATCTGACTCCATTACCATCAAGGTATGCTATTGAATGGTCCCTGTGCCAAGCGGTAGGCCGGGAGACCTCTGCCCCATCGAGCTGCGCGCGCAAGCGGTTTGGGTCCGAGTGGGGCCAAGAGGCTTGGTCTGGCTGATGATGCTACTGATACAATATCGCAAATCTGGCTCCATTACCATCAAGGTATGCTATTCAATGGTCCCTGTGCCAAGCGGTAGGCCGGGAGACCTCTGCCCCATTGAGCTGCGCGCGCAAGCGGTTTGGGTCCGAGACGGTCGGACTTGCCTGGAACAGGTTCGCCTCTGCAGAGCTGGGCCACGAGCTCCGTTGAACCTCTACCCTAGCTAACCATTTAGAGCGGAACTTACTCTATTCTGCCCTGCAAGGGCAGCCCAATCCGACTGTGTCACGGCCGGCTGGAAGGAAAAAGAAGGTGCAGCCTTGGGGGGATGGTCCCGCTGATGATGCTACTGATGCAATATCGCAAATCTGACTCCATTACCATCAAGGTATGCTATTGAATGGTCCCTGTGCCAAGCGGTAGGCTGGGAGACCTCTGCCCCATTGAGCTGCGCGTGCGAGCGGTTTGGGTCCGAGACGGTCGGACTTGCCTGGAACAGGTTCGCCTCTGCAGAGCTGGGCCACGAGCTCCGTTGAACCTCTACCCTAGTTAACCATTTAAAGCGGATCTTACTCTATTCTGCCCTGCAAGGGCAGCCCAATCCGACCGTGTCACGGCCGGCTGGAAGGAAAAAGAAGGTGCAGCCTTGGGGGGATGGTCCCGCTGATGATGCTACTGATGCAATATCGCATATCTGACTCCATTACCATCAAGGTATGCTATTGAATGGTCCCTGTGCCAAGCGGTAGGCTGGGGGACCTCTGCCCCATTGAGCTGCGCGTGCGAGCGGTTTGGGTCCGAGTGAGGCCAAGAGGCTTGGTCTGGCTGATGATGCTACTGATGCAATATTGCGAATCTGGCTCCATTACCATCAAGGTATGCTATTGAATGGTCCCTGTGCCAAGCGGTAGGCTGGGAGACCTCTGCCCCATCGAGCTGCGCGCGCGAGCGGTTTGGGTCCGAGACGGTCGGACTTGCCTGGAACAGGTTCGCCTCTGCAGAGCTGGGCCACAAGCTCCGTTGAACTTCTACCCTAGCTAACCATTTAGAGCGGATCTTACTCTATTCTGCCCTGCAAGGGCAGCCCAATCCGACTGTGTCACGGCCGGCTGGAAGGAAAAAGAAGGTGCAGCCTTGGGGGGATGGTCCCGCTGATGATGCTACTGATGCAATATCGCAAATCTGGCTCCATTACCATCAAGGTATGCTATTAAATGGTCCCTGTGCCAAGCGGTAGGCCGGGAGACCTCTGCCCCATTGAGCTGTGCGCGCAGACGGTTTGGGTCCAATTGGGGCCAAGAGGCTTGGTCTGGCTGATGATGCTACTGATGCAATATCGCAAATCTGGCTCCATTACCATCAAGGTGGACTATGAAATGGTCCCTGTGCCAAGCAGTAGGCCGGGAGACCTCTGCCCCATTGAGCTGTGCGCGCAGACGGTTTGGGTCCGAGTGGGGCCAAGAGGCTTGGTCTGGCTGATGATGCTACTGATGCAATATCGTAAATCTGGCTCCATTACCATCAAGGGGGGCTATTCAACGGGCCCTGTGCCAAGCGGTAGGCTGGGAGACCTCTGCCCCATCGAGCTGCGCGCGCAAGCGGTTTGGGTCCGAGTGGGGCCAAGAGGCTTGGTCTGGCTGATGATGCTACTGATGCAATATCGCAAATCTGGCTCCATTACCATCAAGGTATGCTATTCAATGGTCCCTGTGCCAAGCAGTAGGCCGGGAGACCTCTGCCCCATTGAGCTGTGCGCGCAAGCGGTTTGGGTCCGAGTGGGGCCAAGAGGCTTGGTCTGGCTGATGATGCTACTCATGCAATATCCCAAATCTGGCTCCATTACCGTCAAGGTATACAATTGTATGGTCCCTGTGCCAAGCAGTAGGCCGGTAGCCCTGTTCCTCATGGGGCTGTGCGCGCAGACGGTTTGGGTCCGAGTGGGGCCAAGAGGCTTGGTCTGGCTGATGATGCTACTGATGCAATATCGCAAATCTGGCTCCATTACCATCGAGGTAGACTATGAAATGGTCCCTGTGCCAAGCAGTAGGCCGGTAGCCCTGTTCCTCATGGGGCTGTGCGCGCAGACGGTTTGGGTCCAAGTTCAAGGAGTTCAGCCGTTCCACCAACTCAAGAGACTGGCTTGAGAGCAAGGGGAAGAGTGTCCTCCAGCCGCGGCTCTCCGTGGTTGCTTGAGAGAGGCAAGCAATATAAGCCAAAGTACTCGACGAGAGCAAAGCAATCAGGTGCAAGGAAGAGAGGCTTGAGTGCTCAAATGGTCGGCTCAAACGCTCTGAGGCAGCAACCGTTACCTTTCATCCGGCGCATGCAGCAGAGAGTCAGAAGACCAGGCGCAAGTTGAAGGGAGCCAGCCCTGTCATTTTACTAGATCGCTCACAGCCAAAAAGCTAAGCACATTCAAGATGGATCCTTGAATGAAGACAGGCTACATGAACTCCTTGTAGTCTCAACCAATTGGTATGGCGGCTGCAGCCAGCTTGGCTAGACAAGAGCAAGGGGCCAATCCTTGCACAAGTCGGAGTGATTGCGGAGCGCCCTCGTGTCCGGCTCAATGGTCGCCTCTTCTTGACGTTGCGGTCAGGTAAGCGGTGAGAGTTTCCGGCCAGCTGGAGGCAGAGCTTGGCGGGAAGCCTGCGGCGAGTGGACAGTGCCGCTCTTGCGCACGAGCCCCTGCTGGCGGCCTTCTCAAGCGGGGCAGGCTCGCGTGGGCGCCCGGTTGCGACAGTAGGTCTCTCGCATGCCACGCTCTCTGTGCTGCAGTTGGCTTGGTTGAGAGACGCCAGCGGCTGAGAGCCGAACCTGCCGACACGGAGAAGGCAAGCGAGGAAACGAGGCACACAGTGGGCGGGTCGGGACCGACGTCGCCGCACTTTCGCTTAAGCGTGAGCGCGGTACTAGGTCAACGGTGGGCGCGCCTGTGAGATTGCCCAACAGAAGCAGCCCGCGCGAGGGCCGGCTCAGAGTCCACCAAAAAGAAAGAGTCCCGCCGCGCACGCGAAGAGGAGAGTTCGACTGCCGCTGCTTCGCAGCAAAAATATATGATGTCTGTGGGATTCGAACCCACGCCCTTTCGGACCAGCGAGATCATGTCAACCTGAAGCTGGCTCCTTAGACCACTCGGACAAAACACCCATCTGCTTGAAGGGCGGGAGATCATAACGGTACAGATAAGCTTTGCGCGCAGCCGGCGGCCGTCGAATCGAGCCCGAGGAGAAGTCGAGGCAGGACGAAGGGCGCCTCTTCCTCTGCCTCGCACCATCGCGGGCCCGTCTCTCGCGACACAGTCACGCCCAACTTGACCACGCCGAGCCCCTTCCACCCATAGCGCACTCGATGCAACTCGCCGAACGCCCGCTCCACTCGGCCTTCTCAACTCGGAGCGGTCCGTGCGTCGTGCTGGGAGAACGGCCGTCGAGCGGGCGCTTTCGCCAGCCGGACGTGTCGAGACGACCGTGAGCTGTTTGCGGGATCCAATACAGCGCAAACACGAGAGCACGCTTCCTCGCAGAGTCGCTTCCGGCGCCGTTGCTTCTCGGCGCGCCTCTCCTTGCTCGGCAAAGGGGCGTGAGCAAAACTCACGCAAGAAAATGTCTGAGCAGTGTCGCGCCTGGTCGATACTGCGAGAGACTGCCCCGACCGCCTTCGTCGTAGGGAGCGCTCGACGGCTTCGCACCCAACATCGGACGAGCGGGACTTCCGAACGAGCAGCTCTCCGCTCTCTCGTGGATCGGAACGACAAACTCGCCAACGACAGAGTCGCCAACGACAGACTTGCAATGCAGTCCCTGAGGAAAAGCCGGGGCCGCACCTGCTCGACGCTCACCTCGACGGTCCTACGGCCGGCGGCTTGCGTCGACGTCGGGACTAAAGTGAAACTCGCTCGCACGCGACGCACGGTCCGCCTCGCGGCGCACCTCGTGACGGCGCGCCTCGTCCTGGCGCGCCTCGAAGACGTCCGGGAGCAGGCTGACGGAGGCAGAGAGCTGGCCAAACCTCCTGCTGGAGGGCGTGGAAGCCCGTGTGCAGCCGCGCGACGTCGTCGACGAGCCCCTCGTCAGTTCACGGCGCTTGCTCGCTAGTCCTTCCTCGCTTGAGCAAGCGCCGTCTTGAGGTCGGTCGACGTCCACTTTGGGCCGCGAGAGCCCCTGCTGGCGTCGCGCGCGAAGCGAGCCCACCGGTCCTGGACCTGAACCGCCGACGGCGGCGGATCGAGCTGCTGGACGCCGTGCTCGTCGAGGCCCTTGGCGATGCGGATGGCGGTGGCGAGCATCTTGACCATGGGCTCGCTCGCGCCGAGGGGCAGCTTGTGGGGCAAAGCGGCGCGGCTGGTCCACGGCGCGCCGAGGAGCGCCTTGTCGACGATGCCGGGGGAAAGGGTAGCGGCAGATCTTGGTGAACTCGGCTGCTTTGGGCATCTGCGAGCTTGTCGCGAGCGAGCGAGCGAGAGCGGGAGAGCGAGAGCGGGAGAGCGAGCAACTCGAAGCAGAGAGAGGGGAGCGAGCGCAGCTCGCGCATCTCTCGCGCGCTCGCGGGACGAGGTGACCAAGCATTTATCGGTACAACACGCCTCGCTCTACTGCGTCGCCCTCCCTCGCCCTCGCACGGCCCGCCCACCATTGTCCCCCGCCCCTGGGCGCCTGCGCGCCGACCGAGCCCACCTCCCAGCTCCACCTCAAACTCACTCGGGCACCTCCTTGGGGCTGACGATGCCCTGCCGCAGGACGTAGTAGACGATCGAGGCGTCCTTCTCGATCATGGCGAGGTAGATCGTGGGCGAGTCGGGCGGCGCGGCGGCATCTGCTGAGGGCGCTGAGGGCGTGGACGAGGGGAGGGAGGTGGAGGAGGGCGAGGGCGAGAAGCGCTTCGCGACGGCGTCGAGGACGGAGCTGAGGCTGCGTCGAGTGGGCAGTGTGTGAGTCACGTGCGGGAGAGCGCGAGCAGGAGAGGAAGAGAGAGGACGCACGCGGCGAGAGAGGTTGGCTCGTTGAGCGCCATGGGGAGGACGACGGCGGGCAGGGCCTGCGCGCGCACGGGAGCAGGTCAGTACGCTCTCGATGGACTGGACAACAGCGAGACAGAGTCGGCGCACGCGTTTGGGGAGCCGGGGCCTGCCGCGGACGACTGCACAGCCGCACTCTTCGAGGTCGACGACCTCGACGTCGCGCCACTGCTGGGCTGCGCACAGGTGCGAGGGTCAGTTTAGGCGGTGGTACGAGGCGTCGAGGAGGTGCGGCTCACCGAGCGAGAGGTCGACGGCGGCCTGGAAGAGGGCGCCGGCTTGGCGAGGGTAGCGCTTGCACGCGGGGGCGACGAGTGGGAGCTGCGCGCATGCGAGAGGGTCAGCTGAGTACTGTCGAGGAGCGTGGAGAGGCGCAGTGCGCACCAGAGGGTGGTTGGCCGACATGGTGATGAGGAGAGCTGCACCTCATCAGAGCGAGTCGCGCTCTCGGCTGTACCACTCTCTCGACTCGGCTAGGAGCCAGTACTGCCGCCCTAGCCTGTACCAGAGCACCCTCGACCACCGACCCACGCCATGCTCGGCTCGATCCAGGTGCGCCCACCGCCTCCCCCTCCTCGCTCAACCCCTCGTCCCCGCGCTGACGCCTCCTTCCCACCGCACCCACTCGCACCGCAGACCCACTTCTGGGCCGTGCGCGACTACCTTGCCCCGGTCCTGCGCGACTCCAAGTTCAAGGAGACGGGCCGCCTCACCCCGGACGAGTTCGTCGCCGCGGGCGACTTTCTCGTGTACAAGTTCCCGACGTGGCAGTGGGAGGGCGGCGACCCGACCAAGGCGAGGGACTTCTTGCCCAAGGACAAGCAGTACCTCGTCAGCCGCAACGGTGCGTCCATCTTCCCTCCCCTCTCCTCCTCGCCCCCACCTCGGCTTGCCCGACTCGAACTGACCCAGCGCGCTCGCAGTGCCCTGTCTCCGACGCGTCTCGCAGCTCGGCCAACAAGGCGGCGCGGGCGACGAGTACGCCGAGATGCTCATGGACTTTGCCGAGGGTGGCGGCGCGGCGGGCGACGAGGGCGACGAGTGGGTCGCGACGCACACCAACGCCCAAGGTGCGCCCCCTCTTCCTCCCTCTAACACTCTACGACCCGGCCTGACACACCTGCACGACCCGAAGACCCGAACTCGACGACCGACATCCCCTCGATGGGCGACATCCCCGACGCCGACGACCTATCCTCGTCCTCGGGCGTGGACGGCGTCACCTCTTCCCTCGCCGACACGTCGCTCAACCCGAACGCCGCCGCCGCCGCACGAGACGAGGTGCCCGACTTTGACGACATCCCCGACATGGACGACGAGGCCGGCGGGGCAGGCCTGGTCGAGGACGACGACGATGCGGCGGTCCAGGTCGAGCCCTCGTCTCTCAGCGGCGGCGGCACCCGGTGCGTCCTCGTCTCACCTCCTCGCCCCGCCCTCGCTCGACCCCGATCGTGAGCAGCAGGCGTAGACCGTCAGAAGAGGCACGCACTGACGCGGTCCTCTTCCACGCGCACAGGTCCGACAAGCTCGTCCAGGTGCGGACGTACGACTGCATGATCTCGTACGACAAGTACTACCAGACGCCGAGGATGTGGCTCCTCGGGTACGACGAGGTGCGTCCTCGTTCTTCCCTCTCGAGCCGAGGATCGCGAGCCGCACTCACGCTTTCCCTCCTCTCCCTCGCCCTTGCCCGTCACCGCCCCTCCATTCCTCGCATTCACCCTTTCGTCTATGCCCTGCCTCTCCTTGCCCACGCCTTTGTCCTCTCTCGACCTCGCGCATCTCGTCTCGCGCCCTCCTCTCCCTCGCCTCTCTCCTCCTCGCCCTCGCCTTCGCCCCTCTCCGGTCTCGCCCCGTCCAGGTGCGCTCAAGCCGACTCGCCAGCTGTCTGGCACGTCACGGAGCGAGTCGGGCAGCACTGACACCTTCCTCGTCCTCACCCTCTCTCGCACCTCCTCTCCTCCCTCGCCCGCCAATCCCTCCCTCTATCCCTCTCCTCCCCTCTCACGCAGCACAAGCGCCCTCTCCCGCCCACCTCGGCCCTCGACGACGTCTCGTCCGACCACGCGCTCAAGACGGTGACGATCGAGCCGTTCCCGCACAGCGGCGCCGGGCTCTCGATCGCGAGCGTGCACCCGTGCAAGCACAGCGCCGTCATGAAGAAGGTCATCGAGCGCATGGACGGCAACGTGAGGGAGATGCAGCGCCGGGCGAGGGCTGAGGGCCAGGGGCAGGGCGAGGGGCCGCCGCACAAGGAGAAGGAGAAGGAGGAGAAGAAGGGCGGCGGGAGCAGGTGGCTCGGGCTCGGGAAGAAGAAGGACAAGGAGGCTGCGGGAGCGAAGGACGGCTCGGGCGAGGGTATAGCGGGAGCGGACGCAGACGACGAGGGCCTGCGCGTCGAGCAGTACCTGCTCGTGTTCCTCAAGTTCATCAGCACCATCAGTGCGTCTCCCTCTCTCTCCCTCTGTGCGCCTTCACACACTGGCCCCTGACCACGGTCGCCGTGCCCGCAGCGCCGACGATCGAGGTCGACTCGACGGCGAGCATCGTCCGTCTCTCTCTCTCTCGCTCTCCTGGCTTCGTCTCGCGCTCGGCCGACACCGACTCTTCCCTTTGCCCTCGTGCAGTGATCCTGCTCCACCCGTCGCCTCCTCGGCTCGCCCAGCCTCGCCTCGCCTCGCCTCGACTCGACCCGACTCGGCGCTGGTCGCCTTCTCGTCGCTCGGACCCCTCGTCTCGACGCGGCGCCCTCGTCTCGACGCGGCGCCCTCGTCCTCCCTCCCCCACGTTGACCGTCGTCCTCGGCCTCCTCGGTTACCCTCCCTCCCCCCTCGTTCGCCTTCCTTGCCCTTGCCCTTTATCTCTCCATTGCGCCGCCGTCTTTGCCTCCCTCCCTCCCCCTCACTCGTCGTACCCCCTCTCGCGCGCGCTCTCGCTCTGCAAGTCGCTGTGCCTCTCTGCAGCCAGACCACGAGAGAGAGGGACCTCGAGACGTCTCGTTGCAGAGCGCTGCCAAGACGTGCGCAGAGACGGGCGCGCAGGGTCTGGGCACGAGGACGAGAGGAGGGAGGGAAAGTACGACAAGCGGAGGAAAGGCAGGGGCATGACGAGGACGACGGACATGCGGTGCGAGGGAGAGAGGGGGACAGGCTAGACAGAAGCTGCGCGAGAGAACCGAAAGGAAAGGAGTGGCACAGGCGAGTGCGAGCGCGAGCGCGAGCGCAAGCGCGCGAGGGGTGGCCGGCAAAGTGAGGGAGGGGGACGAGTACAAATGAGGGAAGGTATGACAGAGGGTCGCGAGTACGACTGGCAGATAGGAGGTGATTAATCGTGGTGGCGAGTGAGGTGGAAGGAGGGGGAGGAAGGCGACGTTGGCCATGTCGGCGGTCGAGCGAGGTGTGCTCAAAGCTCCTTGAGCTGCAAGAGAGGATAAAGGTTCATCACTCAGGCGCTCAAGGGGGGCAAGAAAGAGGAGGTAGGAGGGGTGCCACGCACCGCGCGGTAGATTCCCCAAAGCGTCGTGCCGCCCGGCCCGCTCATGCGGCCCAACTCGAAGCGGAGCCGGTCGTAGTCGCGGTCGGCGAGCCGGACAACGACGGACTTTGACAGGTCGATGTCGCCGAGGCCGTGATCGTAGAGCAGGTACTCGCGGTGCGGGAAGAAGTCGAGGGCGAGGTTGTTGACAAAGTACACTTGCTCGACCTTGTACGTCTTGATCGAGGGCGGGAGCGACGCGAGAAGGACGTCGAGCGCCACCGTCGACGGGCTGAGTGTGGTCTGCAGGCCGGCGACAGGCTCCTTGGGCCCGAGGTGGACGGTCTGGAGGTGCTCGAGGTGCGACAGGCCGGCGACCCATTCCGGGAGCGCCGCGGTGAACCTGGCGCCAGGTTTGGCGTTCAGGTGCACTGACTTGAGATTGACAAAGTTGGTGAGGAGGTCGGGTCCACCGAACTGCGACAGGCCGACGTTGATCCACAGGTGCTTGGTCTCGCTCGGGTCGATGCAGGGCGAGAGGAGGTGGGCGAGGCTCGGCTGGCCGCCCATGCCCTGGTCGTTGAAGTAGAGCGCCTCGAACCGGCGCTTGCCCGTCACGACGACCTGGCCCGCAGGGAGGGGCGCGGCCCACGTCGACTGGATGTGCAGGTACTCGAGCTTGACGAATGCGTCGAGCGCACTACCGAGCTCAACGACGCCGATGTCGGAGCGCGAGACGTCGATGTTGGTGCCCAAGACGACATGGAGCCCCAACGACTCGAGGGTGGCGGCCATGGGCAAGCGCGCGAGTTCGATGAGGTCCTTGACGTGGCGGAACGCGAGGCTCTGGCCGCTGCGATCAAGAAGTCCGAACTGGAGACCGCAGTTGAGGATCTTGAGGGCACACGAACAGCCTTTGAGGATCGCGAGCATGTGGGAGACCCATCCGGCGGATGACTGGTCGGCGGCTTGCAGCTGGAAGACGAGGGAGCGCACGTGTGAGAGCAGGTCGCGGCGCGCGGCGAGCTCGGTGGCGAAACGGCGGTTGCGATCGGTGCAGACGATGGCCGTATAGTTCCAGATGACGCGACGGCCGTACTCGAAAAGCTGCTTGCTGGCGAGCGACAGGCGGCCCCCGATGACTAGGCGGTCGCCGACGCCCTCGTTCTCGAGGTAGCCGACGATGTGGTCGATGATCTCGACCGGCAGGCGGATGCGGGTCGAGCCGCCCTATGGTGCACAAGAGCTGTCGTCAGCTCCTGAACGGCGGCCTTGCCCAAGCGAAAAGGGGGAGAAGGCGGACGCACGCGGCTCTGGGGGATCCGACGGCCTCGCCGAGGCGGGATCTCAATGCTGAACCTCGCTGTGCGCAGGAGACCAGGTCAGCTCTCGTTCGGTCGGCCTGCGCTCATGCTCGCGCCGAGGGCTGAGGGGGAAACGAGAGGACGCACTCATGCTCGTGTTGAGGGAGGCGGCCCTAGACGACTGGAGGACGAGCACGGCTACCTGCGGGGCGTCGTGGAGGCGTGTTAGCTCCTTCAGAGGGTCCTATGCTCTCCCGCCACCTGGCAGAGAGGGAGGAGGACGCACCACTTGACGCGATAGATGAAGACCGCGAGAGGCCTCGACAGGAACGACAGAGCGACGGGGCCTTGCCTGGACGCGACAGGACCGATGAAGAGCACGATAGAAGAAGCTAGCGGGGTCGCCACAGCGGTCCCAGCGGTGGGACGATGTGCGAGGATGAGGAGGGGGAGCCAACCCGCCGCCTGCTCCACCTCTCGACGAGTTGCGCCTCTCGCTCGCTCGGCCTAGCTGCCGAGAGCCAGCGGATACGCTCAAGCTTGCTGTGCCGCGTATCTCCGCGCTCGCAAACTTCGCTGAGCCCTCGCCAACGAGCCGGACCACGCGCACCAGCCGGCCCCACCTGAGCTCCTCGCGCGACGACGCCGCACGGCCAGTGTGCCCGCAAGACCGCCGCCATGTCGACACCGAGCGTGCTCTTCAACGCGGCCGCGCTCGACGTCGTCGTCGCCGCGCGCCCCGACCTCGTCGCCTCGGCTCCTCCTTCGACCTCGCTCGCCAACCTCGGCGACGCAGACCTCGCCAGTCGCACCGACGCGTGGGTCGACGCCCTCCTCAAGGCCCCCAGGCGTGCCGCGCTGTACCACGACGAGCGCCTGCAGTTCCACCTCGTCGTCTCGCTTCCCCCACCCCCTCCTTCTCCCTCCTCCTCCTCAGCAGCATCGTCCGCCCTCACACGCCGCCAGGCCGCAGCCCTCCTCCTCGACTCGCTCCCGACGACCGCGCACCTCCAGATCGCCGCCGACCTCGCCTACGTCGACCCGACGACGCCGCCGCCCCTCCCTCAGCGCACCTCTTCCCTCCACGGCGCGCGCGCTAGCGCCAGCCCGGTCCTCGCCCGCGCGCCTCTCACGCCCGCACCCGACCCGGCCCACGCCGCCGCGTCGACGCCGACGCGCGAGGCGCACGCCGGCGGCGCGAACGAGGTGCACATCGCGCGGGCGCACCCGCAGACGGGCGGCGAGGGGGCGCGCGTGTGGGTTGCGCGAGGGCAGGGCGAGGGCGAGTGGGTCGGCGTGTGGCTCCTCGAGTGCGACTTGCGTACGTCCCTCGCTTTCCTCCTCCTCTCGGCCGCCTCCCGAGCTCTCGCCCTGACGCTCCTCCTGCCTCGACAGCGGCCGTCCGCACACAGCTGCGCGACCCTCGGCTCGCCATCACGATCGGTGTCACGCTCCGGGACGACCCCAAGCTCGCGCTCCTCCTCGACCGGGCCAAGGACGGCGACGCGCCGGCGAGAAGTGCGGCGGGCGAGGACGCTCTCGAGCTGGGCGCGGGCGAGGCGGACGATGACGAGGAGTACATGGAGGACAGCTACGACGGTGCGTCCTCTCTCATCTTCCTCGTCAACCGCGCGGGCCTGACGCTCTCCCTCGCGCAGACGTCAACCTCCTGTCCGCGCTCGCGCCCATCTCGTCCCACCCGCTCCACCTCCCCTTCTCGCGCCTCTCCTCCTTCTCCCCCCAGCCTCCCCCCTCGCTCCCAATCCCTCGCTCGCGCACCGTCTCGATCTCGCACACGCGCACCATCTCGGCCAGCTCGTCGACCTCGTCCTCGTCCGGCGACCCGTCGCACCGCGCCGCCGCGCACGCGCACCACCCGTCGCTGCGCCGCTCGGTCCGGCGGGTGCTCCCGCTGCGGCCCGCAGTCCACATCGACCTGCGCGCTGTGCCGTGCCCCGTCGGCGCCCTCGGGCTCGCAGACGGCCAGGGCGTCTTTGCGCAGCACGGCGCCGGCGTGCGCGGCGGCGGCGGCGGCGGTGGCGGCAGTGACGAGGACGAGATGGGCCTCGTGCTGTCCGTCGAAGTGCGCGGTGCGGCGGCGAGGGCGCTCAGCGGCGGCGCGGGCGCAGAGGACGCGCAGGACGAGGCGTTCGTGGTCGACGAGGTCGAGCTCGTCGTCGAGGGCGCCGCGACGCCGCGCTCGATCGCGCCCTCGCACGCTCCTGCGTCCTCAACAACGGCGCACGACCTCGAGGTGCGCCTCGTCACTCGGCCGACGTCAACTTCGACCGCGCCCGGCCGCTCGTCCCTCGACCTGCGCCTCGCGGCCGGCTCGCCCGCGCAGCACAACTTTGTGTACGCGCTCGCGCGCATCCCAGGTGCGCCAGCGGGGTCGCTCGCTGCCGCAGGAGCAGGAGGAGCAGGTGCGGAGGCCGGCGCCGCGACGAGCGTGCCGCGCGTCGTGGCGCTCAGCCCGGCACTCGCGCTGCAGGGCGGCGGGCGGTTCGGCGGGCCGGGCATGGGCGCGGTGCTCGATGAAGAGGACAAGGAGGAGGACGAGGAGCGCGGCACCAGGGGTGAGAGGCGGGCGAGCGCTGGCGGCGCGGCGGGGAGGAGCGCGCTCGAGCGCAGGGTGACGGTGGTCGTCACGGGGCGGCCCGTCGTGCGGCGCCGGCGACGAGTCGCGCAGGTGGGCGGCTACGACGTGCCCGACGGTGTGGGCGAGGGCGAGGGCGGCGACGTCGGTCTGGAGCGGGAGGAGGACGTCGACCGTGACGAGGCGGCCACGGCGCCGTTCGCCTGTCGGTGGCACACGACCCTCGACATCTCGTCCCTCGCCTTCCCTGCCTCTCGGCCTCACCGCGCCGCCTTCGCGACCCAGTTCGCCCCAGCTACCCACCCCGCCGCCACTCGCCCGACCTCGATCGGCGCCGCCCTCCCCTTCCTCCCTCCCTCGCACGCCGCCGGGCGTCTCCCGCTCCGCCCCTCGCCCTCGACCAACGTCCAAGTCGAGTCCGTCGCCGGCTCGAAGCGCCACACCATGTCGTCGCTCGCGGCCCTCTCGCTGCGCTCGCCCGTCCTGAACCGCAAGAGCGCCGGCTTCGCGCCGCCGCCCTCGGCGCGCCCGTCCTCGGCCGCCTCGTCGTCGGCGCGAGCGCTCCCGCCGACGCCGGGCGCGCCACCTGCGCCTGCACCGACGCCGTCGCTCGTCGGCCCGGCGGCCAAGCGGTTCTTCTCCCTCCCGCCGGGCAGCGCCGAGCCGAGCTCGTCCGCGTCTGCCGCCTCCTCGACGCCGCACGTCGCGACGCCGCTCCGAACCGAAACGCCGTCGCCCATGCACAGCGTCGCCGGCGGCGCGACCGCGAGCGGGATCGGCAGCGCCGTCGCGGCGGCGGCCAAGCGCGTGAGCCTGCCGAGCTCGATGAGCGGGTCAGGGAGCGCGGCGCGCCTCGATGCGCGGCCGAAGGAGACGAGGCGCACGAGCTGGATGAGCGGGCTCGTGCCGGGCGGCGCGAGCAGCGTCGGGAGCGGCGCGCCGTCCCCTCAGCCGCCTGCTGCGGGCGAGCGCACGAGCTGGCCTGCCGGGCCGTCATCGTCGACGCTCGGCCTCGGTCTCGACGACCCGGCTCTCGCGCCGCAGGCTGACGGCGTAGCCGAGCAGCCGCGTCGCCTGCCCGCCCCGCCGCCGTCGTCGCAGCAGCAGCTCTCGGCCGGCAACCTCCTCATCTCGGTCTCGCTCGTCCCGCTCCGCACCGCCAAGTCCCGTCGTGCGCCTTTCGACGGCGCAGGAGGCGACAGCGCGTCAACCGGGCCGTCATCGACCTCGACCGCAGCCGCCGCCGCCGCAACCGGGCGCACGAACGCCCACCTCCCGCCGGCGGTCCTGCCCGGGCTCGCCTTCTCTCGCGCTCCCTCGCCGGCGCCCGTCGCGGCACCCATGGACGGTGCAGCCGAGCCGCATGCGACGCCGCGGTTCGCGTTCCCGGCCTCCCAGCCGCCGTCCGGGTCGCCGTCGCCGAGCGCGAGCCCGCTCCCGTCACCGCCGCTCGTCCAAGTCCACGACGGCGAGGCGGCCCTACGCGCACAAGCAGAGCGCACCAGTCGGGCGACGTCGCGCATGCCACGGGTCAACCTCCTCGACGTGTTCCTCGTCGAGGTGTTCCTGTTCAACCACAGCGACCAGGTCAAGCGGTTCACGGTCGGCGTCGGCAGCGCGGCGTCGTCTGCGGCGGCGGCAGCAGGAGCAGGGGCAGGAGCGAGGAGAGGCCGTGTTGACGACGACGAGAAGGTTGCGAGGCTGGTGCCGCTCGAGAACGACGTCCGCATCGGGTGCGTCCGCCTTTCTCTCTCTCCCTCTCCTCGGATCGGCCGCTCGGCTCTCGTCTCTGCGACACTGGACCTGACTCGCTCGCGACCTCGTCGCTCATGTGCGCAGGCCGCTCGCCCCCAACTCGTGCGCCTCGGTCGGGATCCGCTTTCTCGCCATCCGGCCCGGCGCCCACGTCGTCGAGGCGCTGCGGGTCGTCGACCTTGCCGACGGGAGCGAGACGATGCTCGAGCGGCCGCTGTGGGTTGTGGTTGAGTAGCGAGCGAGGGCGTGTAGAGTTCGGCGACTTGCACAGCCCGAGCACCTGTTTCTCGCATTCTTTTCCGCTATCGCCGTCCCTCTCGCCAGCAGCAGAAAGGGAGAGAACATCTCGACTTGCACAGAGAGTGGGGTATCCTTGAGCACGCCTGCTCGTGCGCATCTACTTGTCCGCCTCGGCCTCGGCGGCCGCCTCCTCCTCGAACGTGACGAGCACCTTGCCCTCGGGGACGAGGTCGCCCTCCTTGACGACGACCTTGGCGACGACGCCCGCCTTGGGTGCGCGCAGGACGTGCTCCTGCGAGAGAGGAGAGCGAGCGTCAGTCGCGCGAACTCGGCGACAAAAAGAGAAAGAGAGAGATAGAGAGGGGCTCGAGCGCACAGTCTTCATCGCCTCGACCGCGACGAGCGGTGCACCCTCCTCGACGTGCTCGCCCTGCTTGACAAACACCTGCACAATCTTGGACGCTGCGGCGACACGAGAGGGTCAGAATAGTGCTCGTGCTGGGCAAGGAAATCGAGGAGAGAGGAAAGAGTAGACGCACGCATGGGTGCCCTCGCGCCACCTTTCGCCGCCGCGCCGCCCGCTGCCGCCGCTCCGACCTTGCTCATCCAGCTCGGCGGCACGACCTTGACCGCGCCCGCGAACGCCTCGGCGCCGTTGAACAGGTGGAGCGTCTCGCCCTGGACGTCGCCCGGCGTCGACGCGACGGCTGGAGGAGGCGCCGAGACGATGTCGACGCGAGAGAGGGTCGAAGAGAGGTGGGCGAGGAGGGTCGTCGCGTTGGGCGCGGTGGAAGAGCTGGGCGAGAGCTCGGGCGAGACGTTCGAGAAGAGGACGGCGTCGTCGGCGGCGGCGGACGAGCCGGCGGTCGGGGTGAGCTCGACGTCGAGGGCGCCCTCGAGTGCAGAGCCGTCCTGCTGCAGGCTCGGCCCAACCTTGGCCGTCGTGAGGACGTCGTTGCCCTCGGCCTCGCCCTTGCCCTTGACGCCGGCGAGCTGGTACTCGCGCCAGTACCGGCCCTCGCCCTGCGAGCCGATGCCGGCGCGGAACCCGGCGAGCTTCGAGTCGGTCCAGGCCGACTGGTGGCCGAGGCCGGCAAAGTGGGCGCGCTCGCGCTCGGCAAGGAAGAGGGCCGAGGCGCCGAGGGTCGATGCGGATGCGGGCGGAAGAGGCGGGAAGAGCGAGTCGTAGTGACGCTGCAGGAGGTGCGAGCAAGAGTCAGTCACGAGTTCTTTGTCCCGCTCGAGACTCCCAGAGAGGGCGGAGGAGGCTCACAGGGATGAACGCCGTGTCGACCTCGGCCTTCCCAAACGCCTCGTTGGCCGCGAGCCGTCCGAGGAACTCGAGGTTGGTCGCGGGCCCGACGACCTGGTACTCGTTGAGCGCCTTGCGCAAGGAACGGAGCGCGGCGGCGCGGTCCGTGCCCCACACGATGAGCTTGGAAAGGAGCGGGTCGTAGTGGACCTGCACGCGGCGCAAAGTGTCAATCTCTGCGCTCGAGACGCGCCTGCGCTCGGGATACAGGGAGTGACAGGGACGCACGCTGATCTCGTCGCCCGATTCGAAGCCCGTCTCCATGCGCACCGTCTCGGACGAAGCTGGTGGGCGGTGGTGCAAGAGGAGGCCCGTGTCGGGGAGGAAGCCGCTGCGGGTGTGCGGAGGTCGTCAGTATCAGTCCGCTCCGTCCTCGTCGGAGCGTGGCAGGGAGAGAGAGAGCGAGACGCACTTGCGAGGGTTCTCGGCGTAGACGCGACACTCGAACGCGTGGCCCGTGCACGTGATCTCGCTCTGCGACAGCGGGATCGGGTTGCCCGCCGCGACCTGGACGTGTAGCTAGAGGTCAGTACTCGTGTGAGGCACAGGAATACGGTAGAGAAAGTCGGGCGCACCTCGAGCTGCCACTCGACGAGGTCGACGCCCGTGACCATCTCGGTGACCGGGTGCTCCGGACGGCGAGGGCGAGGTCAGCCAGGCTCGTCGAGCGAGACGAGGCAGAGGACTCGCAGACGCACCTCGACCTGCAGGCGGACGTTCATCTCGCAGAAGAAGAACTCCTGGATGTTGTCGGCGTTCAAGATGAACTCTGCGCGTCGGGAAGGCGAGGCGAGCCGTAAGTGCTCGTTCCGGACCTCTCACGACCGACGCTCAGGGGAAGGGAGACGCACCGACCGTGCCCGCACCCCGGTAGCCGACCGCCTTGGCCGCTTTCCTCGCCTCCTCGTACAGCCGCTCGCGCAGGTCTTGCGGCAGGCCAGGCGCCGGCGCCTCCTCGATGATCTTCTGGTGCCGGCGCTGGACCGAGCAGTCGCGCTCAAAGAGCGACAGGTGGTTGCCGTGCGAGTCGGAGAAGATCTGGACCTCGACGTCTGCGCGCAAGGGCGGGAGGTCAGTCTCGAGTTCCGCTCTGGATGAGGTGCTTGACGGCTCGTGCGCTCTCGCACGGGAGATCGGCTGAAGGAAGAGGGAGGAGGAGAAAGTGCGAGAGGGAGAGAAGGAGGACGCACGACGTGGCCGCGTGATGTACCGCTCGAGCAACACCTCGTCGTCGCCAAAGCTCTTTCGCGCCTCCCTCTTTGCGCTCTCGAGCTGGCCCATAAAGTCGTCGCGCTTGTCAACAATCTTCATGCCCTTGCCGCCGCCGCCCGACACGGCCTTGATGAGGACCGGGTACCCGATCTCGTCGGCGCGCGCGAGGAGAAAGTCGGGGTCTTGGTGCGACCCGGCGGGCGTCGAGGACGGATCAACTTGCGAGGGGTGCCAGCCGGGGACGCAGGGGACGCCGGCGGCGAGCATGATCTGTGAGGGGTGCGAGCGAGGTCAGGAACAGGTCGCAACCGTGCGAGAGCGCCCGATGGGGCACGAGGCGACGCACGTCCTTCGACTCGCTGCAGGACGGTAGGTCGCTCAAGTCAGTTGACGCTCGTCTGGATGAAGATGGGCGAAAGAGGGAGACGCACGCCTTTGAGCCCATCGCCCTGATGGCCTTTTCCGGCGGCCCGATGAACGTGATGTTGTTGTCCTTGAGCAGCTTGGAGAACTCGGCGTTCTCGGACAGGAAGCTGCAAGGGGCTCGCACAACGTGAGTACACCGCTCGACGGGGAAAGAGGGCAACATTCGAGAGAGGTAGGGAAGACGGACCCGTAACCCGGGTGGATGGCCTGCGCGCCGCTCTTGCGGCAGATCTCGATGTACTTGTCCATGCACAGGTACGACTCGCTCGATGGCGCAGGGCCAATGTTGTACGCCTCGTCGGCCTGCGTCGACTCGACGAGGTCAGTCTGGCTCTCGCGCCGAGCAGGTCGAGAGGAGGTGGACGCACGAGCTTGACGTGCATCGAGTCCCGGTCGGCATCGCTGTAGACGGCGACCGTCTTGATGCCGAGCTTGCGCGCCGTCCTGAAGACGCGGCACGCGATCTCGCCGCTGCGCGAGAGAGGGACGAGGAGGAGCGAGTCAGCAGAAGGCGCGAGGGCGGAGTGAGAATGGCTCCTGTGGCCGGGACGCACCGGTTGGCGACCAAAATCTTGTCGAACAGCGGCTTGCGGGTGCTGGGAGCAGACGCCGACCCGGGAGGCGAGGTCGAGGTGAGGGTCGAGGCATGCCGACGAGCGAGGTGGGGGAGAGGTGTCGACGCTGTCGACCAGGGCGCGCGAGGTCAGTGTGGGCTCTTCGTAGGGGCTGCACAGAAATGCAAGAGGGTAGACGCACACGTCGAAGAGGGCTTGAGGAGCGTGCTGGTGGAGGGCGAGAGCTTCGGGTGCGTCGCCGAGAGCCGGGCGGGGACGACACAGCGAGTGCCGCCGGTGCGGTGTAGGGCGGCAGTCGACGCGTTGCGGTGCTGCTGAGCGATGCGCTTCATGGCTGCGGTGCTTGGCCTGTGAGCAGGGGAGGGAGAGGGGAGCCAAGGCGGAGGAGGAGGAGGTGGGGAGCAGCACGCGCCTGGCCGGCTCGGGATCCCGTTTCTCTGTCCGAGCCGAAGAAAGCGCGCACGGTCCGCTCTCTCTCGATGCGGCTTTCTCCTCTCGACGACGCGACGACGAGGAAGCACGACGAGAGAAGAACGACATGCGCAGATACAGAGGCCCGGGGGGAAGAGAGCAAACACGGAGAGCTACAAACGAGAGAAGGGGGAATCTATCGCAAACGGCAGACCAATACGGTGCGCTCCGTCGCTCACCGACGACGAGAGCGCGAGAAGACGAGAGAGAGGAAAGAGAGAGAGAAGGGGGAACGACAGGGAAGGGAAAGTGTCCGAGAAGAGAAGAGTAGCCGACGGCTCGAGCGCGCTCAGGCAGCGCACGTCTCGCCCTTTTCCTTGATGCGCCAGCTCTTGACAGACTCGACAGTCATGCCGCGCTCCTTGGGGTCCTCCGGCCACGTCTCCTGCCACTTGGCGCGGTTGTTCCAAAAGTCGCGAGCGGCGTTCTGCGGGACCGGGAGAGAGAGAGGGTCAGTGTCAGGAATTTGAGGACGGTCGACACGAGAGACAGATAGGGCGAGAGAGAGGGGACGCACAGGTGCGCCGTTGCTCCAAGGCTTGTCGCCCGAGTCCGGGAACCAGCCGTTCGTGCCGCCGACGGCGACCGAGAGGATGAGGTAAAAGTCCTGGTCGAACGGCGCCGCCTTGGCGACGTTGGCGGACGCCTCCCACGGGTTGACCGCGATCGAGCCGTTGACCTGGGCCGACGAGAGCGAGCCGCGGTCCCAGAACGTCTGGTCAAAGTTGACGCGCTTGATGGCCCTCGAGCGCTGGTTGTTCCAGAACCGCATGCCCTTGGGGTCCCAGTCGAGGCCGTAGGTGTAGTACGCCTCGTCGACGTAGCGGCGCTTGAGCAGGAACTGGCCCGTCGTGTCCTTGTACCGGTCCGACTTGAAGTCGAGCCCCCAGTGGAGCGCCGACCCGATGGCGTTGACGGTGCGGTCCCACGAGTGCTTGACCCGGTTGCCGCGAGTCTCGACGATGTCGACTGCGAGAGAGAGAGGCGAGGGTCAGCTCTTGAGAGGGAGGGAAGGAGGGGAGGAAGGGAAGGAGGGGAGGAAGGGAAGGAGGGGCGCGACAGAGAGGGGGACGAGGACGCACTCTCGCCCGATGCGGGCCACTCGCCGTAGACGTTGTCGCGAGGGAGCATCCAGACTGCGAGAGGCGAGTGGCGAGGAACGAGAGAGAAAGGGAGGAGGGGAAAAGGGAGGGAAACGAGGTAAGCGACCGCGCTCGGTGACGGGCAGGTAGAGAGAGTGGAAGACGCACTTGCGGGCCAGATCCAGTCGCCGGTGGGCATCTTGGCCTTGACCTCGACTCGACCGAAGCGGATAGATTTCGACAGGCGGGTCGTCAGGCGCGCCGACTGGATGGGCGGGATGACCGAGTAGTTTCCGACGGTCGAGTTGGAGAAGGCGACGCAGTCGGACAGCTTGTCGGACGTGCAGGTGCCGTCGGCCGTCAGGTTCATGACAAAGCCGTTCGTGATGGCGTCGACGCCGAGGCGGTCCGAGGTGAGGGTCGGGGCGATGATGAGCTTGCCGTCCTCGACGTACGAGTTGTTGGGCGATGTCGTCGTCATCTCGAACTCGCCGTTGCCGAAGCCGCCGACTTGGACCTCGTGGTGCCAGATGGACGAGTCGAGCGTGTCGCCGTCAAACTGCTCATTGAGGACGAGGCAGTACTCGTGCTTGGGCACAGACAGCCAGGCCGTGACTGCGAGAGGTCGGCGTCGGCTCGGGCTTGGGTAGGGCAGACGTCGAGCGAGAAAGGGGGACGCACCGATGAGCGCTGCCGCCGACAAAAGGCCAGGCGAGGAGAAGCCGAGACACGTCCACCTCGTCTTGCGCAACGTGCTCTTGCCGACGGGTGTGTCGAACCAGGGCGTTCGTGCGTTGAGGTCGTCGGCTGAGGGTGGGGCAGGCACGAGGGAGGATAGGAGGGGAAGGTCAGCTTGGAAGAACGGCGAGAGGGCGTGAAGGAAAGGGGAACGCGACGCACGGTGGGCGTGCGTCTTGCGCCAGAGACGAGCTGGACGACGGCGAGCTGTGCTGCGACTCGTGGTCGACATGGGCGAGGGGAAGGAGGCCGCCGGCGCAAAGTGGATGCCAGAGCCGGACGAGGAAGAGGAGGAAGAGGGGGTTCGGGGCGAGCTGGCCAGGCTGGCATCCGAGTTGGTGCGGGGGATGGTCGACGACATGTCGGCGGGCGAGCTCGTGCACGGACGAAGAAGAAGAAGAGGAGAGAAGAGCGAGCGAGATCACAGAATAACCCTCGCCGGCCTCGCGTCGTGCGCGCGAGTCGAGGCGGCTCGGACGAGCGGCGACCCGGCGCCTGGCTCGAACGAGGAGCGAGGGTATGTCCGGACAGCCATCGACCAACGCTGTGCGACCCTGCGCCCCCTTGTAACCCCACGCTGCCGCGACGCAGTCGCCTGCAGGTTGCGGCAGGCGAGGCGAGGTCCCTGGCCAGCGGGCGTCCGCCAGCAGGGCGAACGAGGCTCTTGATGATGAAGGCCAGCAAGGCTCTCCAGCAGCGCGAGCAGAGACTGCCCCATGTCTGGCAGAGCGAGGGGGAGGACGAGGTGAAGCCAGAGGACGAAGGGGAGTTTCAAGTTTCAACGCCGAGAGCAAGCTCGAACGAGAAGGCGTGATGCGGGGCGCATTAGACAGCCGTCGGCCGAGACACGTCAGCTTCACCAGTGTCAGCGGTGGGCGAGGGTCCGTCGTCCCTTGGCTCCGCTCGCATCCCCTCGTCGGCCGGCCGTCGAGGCCTTTGTCGTGCTTGGGAGAGCCTTGCCTCTCAGCTTCCTCTTCCAGCACGCTCGCCTTGATGAACACCGTGCGCTCCGGTTGTCTGTCGGAGATCACCCTCGTCTCACCCTTCTCCTCGCCGCCTCTTCTCGCGCTTCGAGATTGTGCACCGGCGTCCCCCTCAAAGGGTTCCGCCTGGCGGACGTGCGCACAAGACACGGCATGACCGGTGTGCGACAGCTCGACGAGGGCGCCGCGACCGCGGGCGCCGGGGCTCAAGCGCTTCTCGACTCGCAACAGCTGCGAGTGCGGCAGGTCCTCCCTCCTCAGCGCCTGTCTCTCGCTGGCCAGGAGTGCGCCCTCGTGCATCTCGTGAGCTCCGGTCGAGTCGTGCGGGCTCACCGGCGCCCGGACATGCGCGATCAGGCCGGGAACGCGACCGACGCCTCGCCCGCTCGCCCGCTCGTTCGTCGCGCTCAACGCTCCACGGCCTGCGAGGCTTCTCGTCGTTCTCTCTCTCTCTTCTACACCACCTCCCTCGCCCCTCGGCGACGTCCGACAGACCCAGCCCGTCTCGCACGACCGCGTCAAGGCCATCCTCCATCTTCCTCTTCGACCTCTCGCCGTCGGCCTCGCCTCGCCTCACCAGCTCTAGCGCCCTCGACAAGTCATCAGCATGGTGTACGTCCGTGTCTCTCCCTTCTGAGGATCCTCGCCGTCGTCACGAGCTAACCCATACTCGCCCGTCGCAGCGACATTGGGTCACAGCCTCGCTCGCTCGCATCTCGGCTCTTTGGCCGCAAGCCTGCGCCTCCTGTCGTCGAGGACGACGCCAAGTTCGACGAGAAGGCCGACGACATCGACATGCTGCCCGAGCTTGTCAACGGCCTCCAGGTGCGTCCAACACTCGCGCCCCTCCCCCCTTCCCGACTCGCGTTCAACAAGCTGACTTGGCCTTGTCGTCGCAGGCCGAGGTCTCGTACAAGTTCATGGCCGAGCACACGTACCAGATGTGCCTCGAGAAGCGCTGGATCAAGCTCAGTACCGAGAACGTCGATAGCGTCGGCATCCGCCTCGGCAAGCGGCGGTACATCACGTTCCCGGAGGACCAGCGTGACGCCGCCTTTGGCGAGGCGCTCAACGGCCTCAACTGCGAGATCGCCGTGACCTACAGCGCCGACGTCGTCCGGGTCATCGTCGGCGCCCTTCACCCCGACCTCGACTCGTTCTCGCTCGACTCGGTCACCCAGATCCAGGTCGTCGACGACATGTCCAAGTTCGTCCTCTCTTCCTTTGCCTCGTAGTCGACGTTAAGGGCGTCGCTAAACATCCAGGCTAACCTCTCGTCTCTGCAGCCTCGCCCGCGCTCGCGTCGCCCAGCACGCCTGCTTCATCCGCAACGAGCGCCGCCTCGTCATCTGGGCCGACAAGGTCTCCGAGCTCAAGGACACGGTCGCCGACCTCGAGGCCAAGCTCGTCGACTACGTGTTCAACTGCACGCTGCGCCGAGGCCGCCCAAGTCGGTCGACGACCCAGTCGAGCCTCACGACCTTGTCGACGCCTCGCGACCCGTTCCAGTCGTCGCCGTCGCTCACCGGCATCACCGAGGAGGCGTTCGCCGAGGGAGAGAAGGGCGAGTCGCTCGAGGACGGCATCATCCCGCACGATGACCGCACGCTCCCCCTCTTCCACTCGGCCTACACGGGCCTCGCCGTCGCCCTCAACCTCACGTTCTGCGCCCTCCTCATCCGCGTCGGCCTCTACGAGTACCTCCTGAACGGCAAGAACGACTACCTGCGACTGTGCATCATCGCGGCCGTCCCGTTCCTCGTGCGTCCCCTTCCCCTTTCCCTTGCCCTTGCCCTTTCCCTTCCTCCTTCGTCTCGACTAGAGATCGTACTGACGAGCTCGTCTGCCACAGTTCTTCGTCATGTGGGTCTCTCGCGGACACTTTGCCCCTCGCCCCCTCATTGGTCGCCCGCGCTCGACACCGGGTGCTGACTCTGTCATTTCCCAGCCTCTTCTTCAGCGAGAACGTTCTCGGCATCAGTCAGTCCCTTCTCTATCGTGTGCCTCGAGCTCGACTCGAGGACTGTCTGCTGACATCCTCGACTCGCCAACGCAGTTCTTCAGCTCGTCGCCCCGATCGGCCAGATGGGCCGCAACTCGCTCCACTACTCGGCCGTCGCTCCTCCTCGCCGCTACGTTGGTCAGCTGCCGCACATGACGATCATGATGCCCGTCTGTACGTCCCCCTTTCGTCAATCCTACCTGTCGTCCGACGGGACCTTCTCAAGTCGAGACACCTCGCTGACTGTCCATCTCTGGCCCGCAGACAAGGAGTCGCTCGACGAGGTCCTCGCGCCCACCATCGAGTCCGTCTCGCAGGCGATCCGCACGTACGAGCTGCAGGGCGGCACGGCCTCGATCATCGTCTGCGAGGACGGCATGCAGCTCGTCGACGCCGACGAGGTCGAGAAGCGCAAGGACTACTACGACAAGTGGACTGCGGCTGGGTCGCTCGCCCCAAGGAGAACCGCGCCGGTCGCTTCAAGAAGTCGTCCAACCTGAACGTCACGCACGCCCTCTCGCTCCGCATCGAGCACCTCATGGATGAGCGCCGCCCGACCGACGTCGACAGCCTCGCCGCCTGGTCCCTTGCCGACGAGGACCGCCTGTACGAGTCGGCCTTTGCCGAGGCGCTCAAGGAGAAGGACGACATCATCTGGGGCAACGGCAACATCCGCATTGGCGAGCTCATCCTCATGTGCGTCCCCTCCTCCTCCTCCTCCTCCTTCCTCGCGTTCCTTCGTGCGCTTGTCACCGGCAGTCGCAGAGACTGACACGTCCCTCTCGGACTTGGCCCGCAGGATCGACTCGGACACGCGCGTGCCTCGCGACTGCCTCCTCGACGCCGCCTGCGAGATGCAGGCTTCGCCCGAGGTCGGCGTCCTCCAGCACTGCTCGGGCACGTTCCTCGCAGGTGCCGGCTTCTTCGAAAACTAGTGCGCTCGACCCTCTCGAGCCCGTTCAAGCCACGAGCCGGTCCTGACGCTCGGACCTCGTCCCGCAGCATCTCGTTCTTCACGACGTCGGTCAACTACAGCATCACGTGGGCCGTCGCCAACGGCTCGTCGAGCCCGTTCATGGGCCACAACGCCTTCCTGCGGTGGAGCGCGCTGCAGCACCAGGCGCAGGCCAACCCCGAGGGCAAGATCTGGTCCGAGGAGCACGTCTCGGAGGACTTTGTCATGACGCTCAACCTGTGCGTCCTCGCATCTCTTCGCCGTGTTCCTCGTCGCCAAGTCGCTGACTTTCCGCTCCCTCGCAGCGTCCGCGCCGGCTACATCACGCGATGGGCGACCTACTCGAAGCTCGGGTTCGAGGAGGGCGTCTCGCTCAGCTGCGATGACGAGCTCAACCGGTGGCAGAAGTACGCGTTCGGGTGCTCCGAGATGGTGTTCCAGCCGTTCCGGTACTGGTTCACGCGCGGGCCCATCTCGAAGCTCTTCACGAGCTTCCTCCGGGGCAAGTCGCCTCTGCCGTGCAAGCTCAGTTCGATCTCGTGAGTCTTGCGCTCTCTCTCTCCTTTGTACCCCTCTCTCTCTCTCGTCGCGAGTCCTCGCACGTGCAGCCGCCGTCCTCGTTCCCCTCGAACCGAGTTGACCTTCTCAACTCGACGTGCAGGTACATCGCCAGTTACTGGGCGCTCGCCGTCGCGTGCCCGATGGTCCTCGCGTTCTACTTCCTCGAGGGCGAGTTCATCTGGGACATGTCGGGCGCGTTCCGCCCGGCCTTTTCAACGCTCGTCTCGATCATCGTCGTCTTCGTGCGTCCTCTTCTTTCTCCCTGTCCTCTTCCCTCCTCTGTCGCTCTCGCAGCGTGTCCTCTGTCGCTCTCGCAGCGTGTCCTGACTCGTCCTCTCTCACCCCTCGCAGGCTGGTGGCTCGACGTGCGCGACCGCCGTGTCGCGGTACCGGTCGCAGAACGCGACGCTGCGCACGGCCCTGTGGCAAGGCTTCAGCAACGCGCCGGCGGCCGTCCTTTTCTTCACCGGCCTGTCGTTCCACGTCATGACCGCTTTGTTGGCACATGTGACCAGCTACAACATGGTCTGGTCAGCGACTAAGAAGGACCTCGAGATGCCGACGATCCAGGAGGAGCTGCCGGTCGTCTTCAAGCGCCACTGGTTGACGTTCCTGCTCGGGTTCAGCGTCGTCGCCGGGGCCGTCATCATGACGACGAGCCTGATCCCGCTCACGTGGCAAATCCCCGAGTTCACGATCATCTTCCCGCTCCTGTGGCTCTGCGGCGGACAGTGCGTCTCTCTCTTTCCTCTCGAGCTCGAGCGAGACCGGACCTGACGTCCGCCCACCTCGCAGCATCCTCTACCCTCTCCTCCTCAACCCGGCCATCATGCTCTTCCGCTTCTAGATCCCTCTCTCATGAACCGTCTCTCTCTCGACCTGTTCACCTGTCCACCTCCTTGTCTCCCTCGTCCTTGTATCCTCCCCGGTCCAAACTCGTCACCTCGTCTCGGTCTCTCAGGGTGTGTGTGGACCTGTGCATTGTCATCGCGTCTCTCGAGAACCTCGACTCGAGCGCGAGCAAGAGTGAAAGAGAGCGAGAGCGAGAGCGGTCGGTGCCTCGCGCGAGGGCGACGCACGAGCCTCTCCTCGCGTGCGGCCGCTCGCTCGCCGCCGCCTCGTCGCTGGGACCGCGCTGCTCGCGAGCTGAGCAGCAGAGCACGAGAGGCAGAGTCTCGCTGTCCGAGAGCGGCAGAGAGGAGGACGAGCGCCAGGCCCCCGACCGCCTTGCTCGCTCTCTCTCTCTTTCTCACACTCTCTCGGTCGGCGCGCTCGATGACAGAAACCTGCGATTAGCAATGCTCTAAAGAGTCCATACGATGCCCCTCCTGCTCCTGCTCGTGCTCGTGCGCTCGCCTCGCCTCGCCCTGCCCCTGCCGCCCTCCCTCGCCGACCCGACAGCGCTCAGGCCTTGACGGCCTCACGGCGCTTGAAGCTGACGTTCCTCGGCGCCTCGGGCATGACGATCATGGTCTGTGTGTGCGGGCGTGCGCGCGAGTCAGTCTCCGCCTTCTCGACGATGCCACTCTCGCTTCCGGCGCCGCGAGGGCCCCTCGAGCGAGAGACAGGAAAGGAGGGAGAGGGAGAGGGAGGGAGGGCCCGAGAGCGGCGAGGACGCACCGTGTAGTCGTTGCCGGGGAACTTTTGGTCGAGGGTCCACTCGTTCTCGCGCACGAGCGTCGCGATGATGGTGCCGAGCTGGACGTTGGCAAACTGCTCGCCGATGCAGCGGTGGCGGCCGGCGCCAAAGGGGAGGTCTGCGGGCGAGAGGGGCGGGTCAGTGCGGGGTGCGAGGTGGCGAGGGGGACGAGGACGAGGGAGAGAGACAGGGAAGGAGGGAGAGGAAGAGGGGAAGAGAGAGGAAGGGGAAGAGAGGGGAAGAGGGACGGAGCGAGGAAGAGGAGGGGAAAGAGAAAGAGAGAGAGAGAGAGAGAGAGGGACGCACAAGCGCTCTTGCCGCCCTTGGAGATCTTGCCCCACCCATAATCCTCCTCTCCCTCGTCCTCCTCGCCGGGCACCCTCGCGCCCTCACCCTGGTCCATCCACCTCTCGGGCCTAAACTCCTTGGCGTCAGGCCCCCAGATGCCCTCGTCGACCTGCGAGTAACCCGGGGCGGCGAGGACGAATTCTCCCTTTGGGACGACGTACTCGAAGCCCTCGGTGCGCTTGCGCCACGAGGCGGGCTGGTTGGGCTCGGCCGAGGGGGCACCGACCGTTGCCGGGACCGGGCAGTCGAGGATGATCTTGCGCATGAGCGAGTGGAGCGGCGGGTGGCACCGCAGGAGCTCCTTGATGAAGGCCATGAGGAGCGGCGTCTGGAGCGTCTCGTACTCGAGCTCGCGCCAGGTGCCACTCGCGGCGTCGTAAAAGTGCTCGACCTGCTCGGCGTACAGGCGGCGCTGCAGGTCGGGGAACTCGCCGAGGCGCAGGATGGCCCACGCGCCCGTCGCGGCCGACGTGTGCTGCCCGGCCATGAGGAGCGCGATCATGATGTGCGCAATCTGCTTGTCCGTCAGGGGCTCGCCCGTCTTGTACTGCTGGTCCTGCAGCGCCGTGAGCATGTCCAGAGGCGGCTGCGGGGCGGGTTTCGTTGGGTCAGTGAGTGCCCGTCACTCCCTGCCGCACACGCTCGCTCGCTCGCTCGCCCAGGCCCCACCAGAAAGAGAGAGAGAGAGAAAGGGAGGACGCACCTCGTCGGGCGAAGCACGGCGCTTCTCGAGGATCGAGATGTAGAACTCGCGCATTTTGAGCTGGGCGCGGTCGCGGCGGCGGTACGACGGGAGCGGCAGGTTGGGGAACACAAAGTTCTGCGTGGGTGCGTGCGGGCGAGGGAGGGCGGGTGGGTCAGTCCTTCCGTCATCGCGCCTTACGGCGCGCAGAGCCGGCTCGGTGCCGCCCCTGACACGCCGAGGGGAAAGAGAGGAAGAGCGAACTCACGAGCGGCGTAAACCCGCCATCGAGGTCGTGGTACAGCTGGGCAAAGCTCTTGTCCATGGCGGCGCGCACCTCGTGCCCCTGGAGCGTCGCCGACGCCGTCAGGATCGTGATCTCGCTCGAGGTCGTGAACGCGTCGATGGCCGAGCCCGTGGTCGTCGTCTGCGGGGCGGGCGGCCGGGCGTCCGTGGAAGGGTCAGTG